GTAAGGCAAGGCCCTCTGAAGTCTCATGGCCAAGCCACAGAACCAGGAAGTAATGTAGTGTCCGGTAACCAGGAAGTAATTCCTGCAACCCAGAAGTGGTTGGACCAGGAATGTGCCCAACCCCAGAGTCCACCCACTTCCAAGGCCTATTGAGCAGGTCTCACATGCATGGTCAGGCACTCATGGAGGCTGCCCAGGACATGGGAGCCAGGGGAGACTCCTCACGCAGCCTGGGGGAAGCCAGGGCAGACTCGCTGGAGGAAGCAACAATACACAGGGTTCCATCTGCACAGGTAAAACATTCCTTTAAGTGCAAAAACAGACAGAGACAGATACATGCTAAATTTCCTCCCCAAGAGTGGCTGCCACCTTCTACGATGACCTCCAGGGACCCATGCCCTTATGTGAGTGCCTTTGCATTATGTGGGTGTGATGGTTATGTGATATGGTGAAGGCAAGGGGGGTCTTAGCAGATGCGGTCAAGGATCCTGAGGCCAGGCACAGTGGCTCATGTCTGTAATCCCAGCACTTTGGGAGGCCGAGGCGGGTGGATGACCCGAGGTCAGGAGTTCGAGACCAGCTTGGCCAACATAGTGAAACCCTGTCTCTACTAAAAATACAACAAATTAGCAGGGCGTGGTGGCGGGCACCTGTAATCCCAGCTACTTGGGAGGCTGAGGCAGGAGAATCGCTTGAACCCAGGAGGCGAAGGTTGCAGTGAGCCGAGATCGCACCACTGCACTCCAGCCTGGGTGACAGAGCGAGACTCTACCTCAAAAAATATATATATAAAATATATATTATATATTATATATAGATATATAAAATATATATTATATATTATATATAGATATATAAAATATATATTATATATTATATATTTATATTATATATATTATATTAATATATATTTTATATATATTTATATTATATATATATAAAAAGCTGGGCCTAGAGGTCAGAGATGGGAAGCGCAGAGATTCTTCTGCTGGCCCTGAACCCAGGACTCCATGCATTCTTCAGAGGCACTGAAATGAATGCTGCTGTGTCAACTTGGGAGCAGACCCCAACCTCAGATGAGACCCCAGCCCTGGCCCACTCCAGGATTGCAGCGACCCTGACCAGAGGACCAAGATAAACCATGGTGCCTAGACTCCTGGCCACGGAACTCTGAGATAATGAATGTATGTTGTTTAAAGCCACTGCATCAGTGGCTAGTTCTTACACAGTGTAGATAGTGAATACACTCATTATATATACGAATCTGCTAGGACTCCCATAACAAAGTTCCACACTGAGTGCTCCCAACAACAGAAACTTATTTTCTCCCGGTTCTGGATACGGAAGTCTGCAGTCAAGGTGTCTGGAGGGTTGTTTTCCCCCAAGGCCTCTCTCCTTGGCTTGCAGACGCTGTCTTCCTTGTGGGGCCTCAATGGTGGCCCCTCAGTGCATGTCTGTGTCCTAATCTCTCCTGTAAGGGAAACAAGGTCCCACAATGACTGGATGAGAGGGAGCAGATAGCAGATGAGTGGATGGGGACAGAGAAGGACACACCGTGCGTTGTCCCTGGCTTCCTGGCCTGACCCTGACACCCCCATCCAGATTGTAGGGGGATTAGGGGGTGGGGTCTCCACATTCCAGCTGTAGCAAGGCCTGCAAAGGAGGTTGGGGGCAGGGTCTATCCCTGCCCCAAACCCTCTATGGTTCTCCATCACGCTTACCCTCATGGCCCAACCCCTGCCTGGCTCACCTCCTCCATTGCTGGGTAAAGCAAGGTGCTCCACAAATGTTTGTTGAATGACTAAATCCACCCCCAACACACACAGCATCTCAAGGGCTGGGATAGGGGAGAGGACCCTGTAAGTGTAGGTCCTCAACAAACACCCATGAAGCCCGCTTCTCGCTGTGGTTGGTTGTTCTCAATGACAGGAGACAGGAAAGAGCCCCAAGTTCTGGGGCCGCACCCCTTGAGCCGGGCCGCCCAGCACCGGCCAGGCGGGCGCCCCCTGGTGGACTCGCAGTAGCAGTTTGGTCACGAAAAATAAAGCTGAAGATGAGTAATTTGGTCAGAAGAGATAAAGTAAGATTAGGCAAGGATGAGCAACTAACCTACAAGAGATAAAGTGAGGTTAAGCAAGAGATGAAAAACATATAAAAGGCCATGAAATGTACGGCCGGGCCCAGTGGCTCATGCCTGTAATCCCGGCACTTTGGGTGGCCGAGGCAGGCAGATCATTTGAGATCAGAAGTTCAAGACTAGCCTGGCCAACATGGTGAAACCCCGTCTCTACTAAAAACACACAAAAGTTAGACAGGCATGGTGGTGCATGCCTGTGATCCCAGCTACTCCAGAGGCTGAAGCAGGAGAATCACTTGAATCCAGGAGGCGGAGGTTGCAGTAAGCCAAGATCGCACCACTGCACTCCAGCCTGGGCGACAGAGCAAGACTCCATCTCAAAAATAAAAAACAGGACGGCGCGGTGGCTCAGGCCTGTAATCCCAGCACTTTGGGAGGCTGAGGCGGGTGCATCACGAGGTCAGGAGATCGAGACCATCCTGGCTCACACGGTGAAACCCCGTCTCCACTAAAAATACAAAAATTAGCCGGGTGTGGTGGTGGGCGCCTGTAGTCCCAGCTACTCGGGAAGCTGAGGCAGGAGAATGGTATGAACCCAGGAGGTGGAGCTTGCAGTGAGCCGAGATTGTGCCACTGCACTCCAGCCTGGGTGACAGAGAGAGAGACTCCATCTCAAAAATAAATAAATAAATAAATAAATAAATAAATAAATAAATAAATAAATAAAAATTTAAAAAATAAAATAAAAATAAATAAATTTTTAAAAAGAATCCTTTAAAAAAAAAAAAAAGGCCATGAAATGTAACAAACCAGGGCTGATCTCATCTGGGAGAGCTCTGTCCGCTCTCCCCTCTGAGAGTGGAATACTGTGCTTCATAAACGTTTGCTCCTTTCCTTTGCTGTCTGTGCACGTCTCATCCAATCCTTTGTTTCGGACACCAGGAGACTGGAACTGCACGGTACCATCCAGCAACAATCTGACACAGACCCACACACGCACACACACGCGACCTGCCCTAGGGAAGACAGAGAGACAGAAACAGAGAAGCTGAGAGACAGGCAGTGAAGAGCATTCAGAGCCTAAAATATAAACACTGAGAGAAACTCCAGAGACGGTGAAAGAGACAGAGACAGGGAGAGGAACCAGAACGCAAATGGGGGAGATGAAGTCAGAGAGACAATACAGAGGAGAGAGGCTGGGCGCGGTGGCTCTCACCTGTGATCTCAGCACTTTGGGAGGTCAAGGCAGGAGAATCGCTTGAACCCAGAAGTTTGAGACCAGCCTGGGCAACAGAGTGAGACCCCATCTCTACAAAAGAAAAAAAATCAGCCAAGCATGGTGGCAGGTGCCTGTAGTCCCAGCTTCTCAGGAAGCTGAGGTGGAAGGATCCCTTTAGCCCAAGAGGTCAAGGCTGCAGTGAGCCAGGATCACACCACTACAGTCCATCCTGGGTGGCAGAGCCAGACTCTGTCTCTAAAAATAGATATATACATACATACACACATACATAGATGATAGATCCATAGATAGGTAGGTGATAGATAGTTGATAGTGGAGAGAATTGTAGACAACTCAGGGATGGACAGAAAGCCAGGAGGAACAGAAGAGGAAACAGCAAGAGCAGGGGAGATGGAGAGATAGCAATGGGGCTAGTGTGCGTCACAGACAGCTGGCAGGCAGAGGGACCAAGGGGCAGAGTACAAGAGGCTGTCTAGGAGGCTGCAGACCCTTGGAGACACGCAAGAGAAACAGGGGAGGCCCACGATGTCCCCGACACAGACACCGGCCACACCAGGCCCAGCAGCCCCACCTGTGCAGTGGTTCAGCACAGTGGCAGTGTCAAGCATGGCAGAGGTGGCAGTCAATGTGTGTGTGCCGTGGCTGGTGAGGGCACTGGGTGTCTGGCTGTCCTACTGCAGCTGGTCTCACCATGCTCTGCTGACAGGAAACTGGACCTCTGGCAACATCACTGGCTGCACTCAGCCTCAGCTCCCAATATGTCCCCACCTGCCTGCTGGCCCCCACCCTAGGCCTGGTAGGACCTCAGCTGCTGACCTTGCCAGTGAGCGGGCCTGGCAAGAAAACTCATGACGTCAGGCTCAAATCCCTGCTTCAGGCAGGAGAATCAGCGCGTGCGGTTCTAGGTACTAAGCCGTGGTCATTTCTTACACCAACTTCGGGGAACACCCTGGCTTCCCAGAGCACACCCCCGAGGGTGGGGTCTGAGCAGAGACTGAGGCTGTGACACCCGGCGCTCCCCCACCCAACCTGAGACCCAGGGTCCCCGCTCCGGCCAACACCCTTCCAGAAACAAGGGGACCCGGCCCATCCTCTGCCTCCCACAGACACCAGGGGTCCCAGTCCCTCCACAACACACCCTGGAGGAGACTGCGCCCTGTTCTCTCGTCCCCTCCCGTCCTGCCTCACCCCTCCCCTCTCCTCCCTCACTCTGCTGCTCAGGATTCTATGAGCCCCAGGATTTCGGGGGCAACCCCCCAGGAGCCAACCCCTCCTGCTCTCTGGAGACCTCGGCCTGCACCAGCCCCTTTGGGAGCCTCGGTTTCCCCTCCTAAGGCCCTGGGCTGAGCAGAGGGAGGGAGGCACAGGTGTGACTGGGGGTTAGTGGGCAGATGCAGCCCAGCTCCCCTCCCTCCCAGCCCCCTCCCCACGGCTCCAATTAAGGGTCCTCCACGCTCAATCGCTGCATTTGACTCACTGGCGGCCTCACCTCCCGAACGACGCCTTTGTTCCCTTAATTGGCCATCTCCAGGCACTATTCTCTGTCCCCCGCTGGCGTGCGCTGGTCCCACATCCTAGGTCCAACTATGCGCTAATTGGGTACTTAGAGGGCCCCAGAAAGCCCCCTCCCCTCCCTGTTCCCGGCCTTCCTATATCAGCCCCCACCTGCCAGTCCCTCAGACTTCAGGTCAGGCTCCTGGGAGGTGGGGACAGGGTTAGGGCGCAGTGGGGAGGCCTTGGCCCAATCCCCAGCCCTGCTTCCTCCCCAGCCCGGGGTGCCTGGGCCTCCAGAGTCCCCTGCCCCTCCCTGCTCACAGATTTGGGGGGTGCTTTGGTCAGCAGCATTGTGGAGAGTTACTTCAGACCACCCCGGCCATGCATCCCGGGGTCCCCGAAGGTCCTGGGGTCTCCGAGCCCGGCCCCCGGGAGCTGTGTGCCTTCGTGAGCGGGGCGGCTGCCCACATGCTGCGGGCCCTGCAGCCCCGGCGCACCCGACCCCCCAAGAGGCGGCCCAACCACAGAAGGTTTCTGCACAACCAGATCTGCAGGTGAGGGGCTGTGGGGAAGGTGGGAATGGGAGGTGGGGGAGGGGGATGAGCAACCAGCACCCTTGGCTGGGGGAGACCAGGCACCGACAGAGAGGAGCAGACCCCAGGGCTGGATGCCAGCAACAGTCAACATGCATTTATTGAGTGCCTACTGTGTGCCAGGCCGGTTAGCAAAGCAGATAAAGTTCCTTGCTGTCGTGGAGGTTGTGTTTTCATGGGGGTGGCAGACGGTCAGGACTCACCAAAATAAATAACTAGCATGGTGTGATGCAACCACATGGGTGAACCTTGCAAATATGATGCTGGCCGGTGATGGTGGCTCAAGCCTGCAATCCCAGCACCTTGAAAAGCTGAGGCAGGAGGATCACTTGAGTTCAGGCATTAGAGACCAGCCTGCTCACATCTGTCTTTACAGGCAGTTCACCAAGATTGAGGCCGCCACCCGGCGCCTGGCCCTCTCCATCCTGTCCCAGGAGGCACCTCCCCAGAGACCCTCGCTCCAAGAGCCACCCCCACCGCCTCCATCCCCCTTCCTCGGAGTGGCCTGTGCTGTGGCCCCCACTGAGGCTCCCCATGCCAGCGCCAGCCTGAGTCTCACTGCCCTGGACACCTCTACCCTCGACCTCTTTGACAACATTGTGCTCACCCCAGAGTGTACCTCAGTGCCACGGGACCCCTCCTCTGGTCCCACTCCCCTGCCAGTGCCGGGTCTGTCCTATCTCGACCTGGGCCCGCCGGACCTGAGGCAGGTCCCACGTTTCTGCGGCCCCCTGCCCCTTCCCCGGCATGCCCTGGGGGAAGAGGCTGATCTCGCGGCTCCCGACTGGGGTTGGGTGGACTGGTGGGAGGGATCCTCGTGCCTGGGATTCTCAGGGGATCCCTGAAGGTTGGGGGACCAGCTCCCCATAAGGCCAATCACAACCCAGTTCAGAACCCAAGACAAGCCAGAGGCCCCTCCATGACAGCTCTCCAGCCCTCTCCAGGAGCCCCCAACCTGTCCACTCCCTTCCTGGCAGCCCCTGGTAAAATAAACCAACCCAGACCCCCTCCTCAGACCACTGCCTCAGGGGTCTCCTCCTGGGCCCAAGGGCCCCCCTCCACCTCTTCTGGAGGCCCCATTCTTGCTTTCTCGCCTTTCCCCTTCCTTCTTCCTTGCGCCATCTTGGCATCCACCCCTCACTCTCAGCCGGACTTAACGCTGCCTAATGTCTGCTCTCCTCTCTTTATTCCCAAAGACATATGGAGCGCCTGCTATGGACCAGGCCCAGGTCTAGGACTTGAGGATTCAGCAGTGAATGAGGCAGACGGGATCCCTGCCTCAGGGAGCTCCCTGTTCTGTGTGCATGTGTGTGTTTTGGCGGGGAACTGACAATAAAAGAGTATATCCATGCATTTTTCAAAAAGCAAGATTCATTTCCAATTCAGATTGGAGTTAGTGCTGAAAAGAAAATAAAACACAAGGCCAGGTGCGGCGGCTCACACGTGTAATCCCAGCACTTTGGGAGGCTAAGGCAGGCGGATCACTTGAGCCCAGGAGTTCAAGACCAGCCTGGGCAACAGAGTGAGACCTCCGTCTTTACAACAAAATAAAAAAATTAGTCAAGTGTGGTGGCGCATACCAGTGGTCCCAGCTACTGGGGAGGCTGAGGTGGGAGGATCGCTTGAGCCCGGGAGGTTGAGGCTGCAGCGAGCTGTGATCTTACCACGGTACTCCAGCCTGCTTGATAGAGCAATTTTTTCTTTCTTTTTTTTTAATCTTTCAAAACAATTAAAAACAGCGACCTGACACCAGGTGGTCAGGAAAGGCTTTGAAAGCCTGGAAGGCTGGGCCATGGGAAGTCCTAGGATTCCAGGCTGAGAGAGCACACGTGCAAAGGCCCTGCGGTGGGACATTGAGGGAACAGCAAGGGGAGACCCATGTGGCTGGAGCGGAGTGAGCAGGGGGAGTGGTGAGAGGCGAGGTCTGCGGGAACCGGGAAGGCCAACCACGAATTGCGAGCAGTTTGGACTTATTCCAAGTCAGTTAGGAAATTCCCTCTTTCTCTCAACCACCATTTCCAAGCAGAGTCTAAATCATTCTAAACACCACTCGAGGAGGCAGGTGCTGTACAGATGGGGAAACTGAGGCAGCGCATAGCACAAAGGACAGGGGGGCGTCAAACTCCTCACTTGATCACGCCCTCAGCCAGCCCCTTCCTGGAAAGTGCGTGGGTATCTTTGTAAGCCTCCGTTTCTTGACAGAGGGCCAGGATTCGAACCGCAGACATGATTCTACTCTAGGTAAGACCCCTCTCTCTCTCTCCCCCGGCCTCGGCGACCTGTTCTGTGCAACGGGGCCGGGCGAGACGCCCTCTCTCCAGCCAGGATCTGAGCCTTCGGAGACCACTGCGCGACTCTGCCCCGTCGGCCGCCACTCACGCCCTCTACGGCTCTCCATTGGTCGGACGCGCTGCTGCCCCGCCCCCACCGCGACTTGCGAGCTAATCATTTTCTCCAGTCTGACAGTCTAGCCGGCGCCCCTCCCCTGGGGCGGGAGCAAAGCAGCGGCATATGCGGATTGGTTGAGAAGCAGGGGGCGGGGAGAGTTGGTGAGCGCTGATTGCGGGCAGAGGCAGTGGCACATGCGGATTGGCCGGAGAGAGGGGGCGAGGCAGCGCATGATGAGTGTCGATTGGACGGCTCGACCCAAGTGGGCGGAACGCGGACCGTGCAGGGGGTGGGCCACGTGTCCAGCCCCAACGAAACGGTAACCCGCCCCGAGAAGCCCGCAAGAGGCCTCAGCGGCGGCCGTCCGAGCGCCGAGAGGTGAGGGTGCCCCCGGCCTCACCTGCGGAGGGGCCGTTCCGGGCTCGAACCCGGCACCTTCCGGGTAAGTCCTCTCTCACTGCTGGCGCTATTTGGAGATCGACCTTCCCGCCTAACAGATGGGGAAACTGAGGCTCTGCCTGGTCGACCCGGGCCAAGGTCACAGAACCAGAAGGAGGACGCCACGTGGCCCTGCCAGAATTGGCTGGCCAGAGACCCGAAGCGTCCCCGGGTCGCCCCTGCAGCCTCTGTAACAGCACTGCAGGGTGGGCAGGTTTCATCCCCATTTCTCTGACGAGAAAACTGAGGCTAAGACAAAGAGAAACTTGCCCAGGGTCACACAACCAGGAAGTCCAGGCTCCAAGGCCAGGTTTCCGAGACCGCGTCGGGAAATCCACAGCCCTACCCCGCCCCCGTTGCCGCCCACCTCCAGCCACGCCCCCTTTGGCCTTGGATACCCTCCGCTCAGGCTGAACCTCTCCTCGTTCCCCGGGACACGCCCAGCCCTCTCCAGCCCAGACCTCCCCTCCACATCTCTCTCGCTCACACACACATCCACTCACCCCAGTTTTTCATCTCCCAAAAACCAGTTCCCCTCCCCGGGATCTCCTATGAGTCTTAAGGTCATGCCCCTCGCTCGACCAGAAACGGGGGCCCTTTCTCCCGGACTTTCCCCACCATCCCAGCTGTCCCTTCCTGTCTCTCCCCTGTCCCACTGGGCCCCAGCCCCGACCTCCTCCTCCCTGGCCTTTGCCTCCAGTTCAACCGCACAGCGGGGCCGTGAAGCCATCTTCGTATTTTGCATTTTGAACACTTTTTCTGGAATAATACCACATACGCAGAAAATCATACAGTTTGCACATACACAGCTCAAATAAATATTTATAAAGGGAGCACCCTGGTGTAAACAAGTACCCAAAGAAAAAAGTCAAGCATGCGCCACATCCCAGGATCTCCCGCCGTCGTCGTTTCCATCACAGTGGTCCAAGGGCAATCACTGTCCTGGCTTCTGACACCATAGATCAGTTTTGCTGGGTTTTGGCTTCACGTAAACCCTTTATTGTGTATAGTATTGACTAGACAACCTGTTGCACATTGTCCAGAATTCAGAAGAAACGGAATAGGACCTAGTGAAAAGGCTCCTACACACTTCCCCAGTGCCTGGTTCACCCATCTGAGTCTCCCGTTTCTTGCTCGTTTGCCAGAGATAGCAGATATAGATATAGGCAACACAGACACACTTTCTCTCCCTTTTTTCTTTGGCACAAAAAGGAGCATTCCACACACACTGTTCTGCTTCTTTTTCACTTCTCTCAAACATGTTTTCGTATTGTTACTTAAAGAGCTTCCTCGTAAGTTTTTCTGGCTGCGAGGAATAACAGAGTATAGTTACGGCATAACCAGTATACCCTAATTGTGGACATTGATACTTCTGCTCCTTTGCTCTGGGGAAGAGTCCTGTAATGAATAACCCTGTGTCGTTTCACATGAATGTCTGTAGGATAAATGCTTAGGAGCAGCTTTTGAGGTCAGAGGGTTTGCGTATCCATCATTTTGAGAAGTGCAGCTGCTCAGCTGTCCCTAGGAGTTGTTACAACCCACACTCCTGTCAGGCCAGAGGGGAGTTCTTGGGTGCTACAGATGCCTGTCCTAGGCTTTTGGACATGCTGGCCCCCAGATGTGCCCCTCCATGGCTCCCAACTGCCCTCCGCAGAGAGACTCCGGGGCCCTTGTGAGCCACCTGTCAGCTCTCCAGCTCCTGGTTCCCCAGAATCATCCCTTGGGGCCTGAGTGTCCCAGGTCCTGCCTCCTGCTCAGGGGAGGAAGGGTTAGCACGTGAGTGGGTGTGAGAGGGTCACTCCAGGGGAAGGAAACCGCAAGGGCTGTTTGAGAGGAAGGAGTGGCTGGGCTGAGGCTGGAGGGTCTTCAGAGCAGTGCCGGAGCGGGGAAAGGGGCGTCTACATCTCAGTCCTGAGGACAGAGAGAATCCACGGGGGTCAGGGGACAGTTTGAGACAGGGGAGTAATAGTCAGCTTTGTGTTTTCTGAAAAGATGGTTTTTCTGTCTTCACTTCCTCTGGGAGAACACTGCAGCCCCTGCCAAGCTGGATCTGGCTCCCTCCAAATCCCAGCACTTACCACTGTTGTAATTATGGGATTAATTCACTGGTTTTGTTTCAGAGGGCGTTTCCATTCAATTTTATTTAATGAGATAAAATTTGCACAACATAAAATTCACTATTTTAACCATTTATTCGTTTTTAAACTTGAGATATGATGCACATAGAAAACATTTGCTATGGTGGATGGATTTTGTTCAAAGAATAATAGGCCACGCGTGGTGGCTCACGCTTGTAATCCCAGCATGTTGCGAGGCTGAGGTGGGAAGATTGCTTAAACCCAGGAGCTGGAGACCAGCCTGGGCAACATAGCAAGACCCTGTCTCTGAAAATATAAAAATACAAAAATTAGCCAAGTGTGGTGGCATACACCTGTAGCTCTAGCTACTTGGGAGGCTGAGGTGGGATGATCACTTGAGCCCAGGAGGTTAAGGATGCAGTGTGCTATGACTGCGCCACTGTACTCCAACCTAGATGACACTATGAGACCCTGTCTCAAAAAGGAAAAATGGTACAGGGAGGCCAAGGCAAGAGGGTTGCTTGAGGCCAGGACGAGAGAGAGAGAGAAAGAAAGACAATGAGCAACAGTGTCCTCACTACCCAGCTTTGAAAATAGGAGCTCCAGGCCAGGTGCGGTGGCTCACACCTATAATCCCAGCACTTTGGGAGGCTGAGCCAGGTGGATCACAAGGTCAGGAGTTCAAGACCAGCCTGACCAAGGTGGTGAAACCCCATCTCTACTAAAAATACAAAAATTAGCCGGGCATGGTGGCGCAAGCCTGTAATCCCAGCTACTCAGGAAGCTGAGGCAGGAAAATCCTTGAACCCAGGAGACAGAGGTTGCAGTGAGCCGAGATCGTGCCACAGCACTCCAGCCTGGGTGACAGAGCAAGACTCCATCTCAAAAAAAAGAAAGAAAGAAAAAGAAAATAGCAGCTTCTCAGTGAGTGCCCTGCCTCCCTCAGCTTCCCAGAACACCTTCTGT